ATATATATATATATATATATATATAGTTGTATTTTGATGGTAAAAGAAATTTAATTTAAGTTTTAGTTATGTCTAAAATCATTATTTTATTAGTATGACATATATTTATTTAAATAAATTAAATAGGACCCAGTAACCCTGAAATAATTTGTTTGGCTATAAATATATTTTCAATAAAAAAATGTTAGGAAAAATATATTTATTTAAATAAATTAAATAGGACCCAATTACCTTCAAATAATTGGTTTGGGTATAAATATATTTTCAATAAATAATGTTACCTTCAACACTACAATATCATTTCTTAATTTGGATTTTAATATTATTAGACGATTGGCATATGGGAGGAAGGAATAGAGTGTGAGGTCACGTGCATAGGGGAGAATGCACGTTGACTCAGATGGTTTTCGGCCGTCGAGTCCGCAGCAGTACACGGTAAGCTGGATTCTTTCACATTCAATTGTTCTACCACTGCCTTTTCATGCTTTTTGATTGGACCAATTAAATTATATTAAGAGTTGATTTAATATAATTATATTAAGAAATTACCAATAATCACATAAATTAATTCTTTGCACAGATGGAAATAATTTTGTATTAATACTCGGACAAGATCTATTGGGTGAATTATCATAGTTATACATAGAACTTGCTTTGTATTAGTTGACCATAAATAGTCAAAATTATTCATTGAGCCCCGTTTGGTCTCATTAAATTTCATTTTTCTCTCTCATATTTTTAACCACACAATTTTCTATAAAATAATGTTACACGTAAATAAAAAAACTTTTCCTTCTTTTTCAACTACTCATTTAAAAAAAAAAAAATACTATTCAACTTATTTTCATTTTTCGAAAATGGGAGCCAAACGGGGGCTGAATAGGTAATAAAACGAATTGATCGACACAAGCTAATGTGACCGATCTTAACTAACCAATCATACTACTCTATTACTCCATTAAGTGAAGAGTGGATTTCTCGATAATAAATCTATTAGAGTGTGTTTGATTGTCAATATTTTTCATTTAAAATATCATTTTTTTCCAACCAAATTCATACTTTTGTATCGTTTGATTGATATTTTTTTCATGAAAAATATTTTTCCACTTTTGTTCAAGTGATTGTATTTTCCTTGAAAATAATAAAATATTTTCTTTATGGGGAATATGTTTATATTTTCTAGGTAATTCACTCTCTCTTTCTCTCTCATCTACTCGTTCTCTCTTCTAACAATAAAAAATAGACAAATATAATATTTCTAGATTAAAAATAAAATCGATCAAAAACATTTAATTGAAAATTTTTATGCAAATAATTTCTAAACAGTTCAATTACCTAAATTTTATTTTCTTTTCATATAAACCATATGCTTGCAATAAGAAACATCCTTAGGTACGATAGTATCAACTGTCATAATTGAACTTTGTGTCATTATTATTAGACAAGTACTGCACTGAATCAAATAATAAAAAATATTGCTATTTGTATATTGATTTTTGACACTTTGATTGACATTTACATTGTCATCAAGTGTCAATTGGATGAAAATTTTGTTTGAAATGTAAACTGTCTAATAAGATAATGTTACGTAACAAAGTGTAAATTAAAATATATACAATGATATACATGTAGCAATGTGCAAACGGAAATAGCGTGCGGTGGTACACAAGCTTAGTCCACCACATAGTTCATGGACACTACAAGTAGGATCACCACTTCCATGTTACGTCTCTCTATCTATAAATGATGATATTAAACCACGTTGTTACATTCTGCAGCCGAAATAAACTATGGCCTTAGAGTTATTTCTAAAGTTGCTTTGATCACCTGAGAATTAAGGCCGTACGCTACATGTAAGTGTCAAGAAGTTCCTATCGAGTCGTCCATGTATAAATTATTCGTATATTATACATTCTAGAATCCACAGTTACTACGCAACAACCTAACTTTTTTCACTAACCATTCAAGGAGTAGTAAATGAGTGCACTAGTTATTTCATATGATAAATGTGCAAGTTGAGTTAGTTGAATGCTACTACATTCAGTGCTTTTCTCTCTGAACCCCTTTTAATGAGGCTGAATTTTTCGATATCTCCTTTTGAAATTAAAAGCTGTTTTTGAATGTATCTTTATAACTTTGAGAAAATGTATTATCTGATTGAAAGAACATTTAGATAAAGTTGATTTAAGATAGTTTTCTTACTAATTCTTCAACAAAAAGGAGAGGCAAAAACAAAAATCACTGTCAAACATGATAAGTATATTATAAACACTTATTCGGAGCCTTAAATAATGACATTTTATAGTTTTTTTTATTGAAATTTTATCTATTTGTTATGTATTGCGTTTAATAGGTAAAACTCAGGACATAATGAATAATTGGAGAAAACAAGTTAGAAATAGAGAAGAATGACGAAAAATATTCTAAAGTTGTGATGGACCTCACTATGAAGATTTGAGAGTATTAGGTGTCAACTAGACGAGAAAAGAAGTCAAAGAAATGAAATAAAATAAAAATATTATCCAACATCAATTTCCAGCCAAAACAGTTATATTCCGAATCTTCGGCCTCAACTTGAGATCTGTTTTTGACATAGTAAACATTCGAATTGAATGGAAAGAATGGTGGTGCTGGTGGACCAAGGATCGAAAATTAAAGATGAATTATTCGAAGTTAAAATCTCAGTAACGTTGGTTTTATTTCTTAGTAGCAAAAATGGTTCGTTTGATGGATTTTATATTTAATTATGTGACTTGAATAATTTTACGATCTTGAGCCATAGTTTTTATTCAATTACGAAGTTAGGGAGGTTTGCAACCTCATATTTCATAAATTTATATGTTTGCAATGTTAGGTTTAAGATTAAATATCAAACTGGTACACTCTCCATACTTTTAGATTCTGACATCTATTTTGGTCACTTCAAGGTCTGTACTTCCAGCTTCTTAGATAGAAGTAGTTGAGTTTAAAAACTTGACGAGTTTATGTCGGTGAAACTTGGAATCATGCCATTCGGCCGATTGTGGAATTAGCTATGCTTGTTTTCTTCAATAGACCGAGCTACACGAACATACGAGTTGACATAGGGGATGACCGAATACATACACACATGTGGTCGACATTTTTTAATTCACACGGGATTCACGCACGATGTGAGGGTCGATCAACCAACGTGTCACCAAAATTCAGGCAAAGATGCTTTTTTTCTTCTTCAATAGAGTCGGTGTCACCTGAATTTGTCATCTTCTTTTAATTGGAGTTTTTCTTTTCACCATATTTCACAATCATATATAGTGTTGCACCTTACTAACAATGCCACCGATACACAATCATTTTTATTTTGGACCTCTACGTGTACAAAAAATCCTTTCACAGAAGTACAATTGAAAACTCACCGCAGGGGTGGGTGAGATTATTTTTGGCATTTTCTTATCATCACATGGGGTCTACATATGTAAGATTTCTGGCCAATTTCGGTGATACAGTAATCTATACATGCAGAATTATTCTTTTATTTAATATAAAAAGGAATTTATTAAAAATAAATTTAAGTAGTTATTGCTACGTATTTTGTTGTCAATAATAATATATTGGGTCCATTTCTGAAATAAAAGTCAATAGAGCATATGCTCCGTATATTAACTATATTGCCCAATAAATTTTTAATATATTTTCTTGAACTCTAGACCCATAAATAAATTAACGTAGAGCAATGTCCAATGCAACACTGAGCCAGATTCCTCTATACTTTCTTCAATTTTACTCATTTTTCAGATCTTGAGGTAAAACTGATTTCTTTTCCTTCCTATTTTTATTTTTTTGCCCCCTTCCCTTTCCTCTAGAAGGAAATGGCAAAAGCAAATTCATCAAAAATGCAAACTGGGAATCAAGATTTTACTTCCAAATTCCTTCAAATAAAGCAAGGTGACAAATTTTTCTCTAGGCTCTTGTCAAAGAAGAGAAACTCCTCCTCCTTCTCCTCCTCCGCGGCCGGGGATTCATCTTTCAGAACGTCGTACTACGATGGCGCTGCTGGTTCTGTTCCATTCGTGTGGGAGTCTCAGCCGGGCACCCCAAAACACACGTATTCGGACAACCCTCTGCCGCCACTCACGCCACCACCTTCTTATACATTCAGCCCTAATAATTCCATGCAGAGAAAGAATTCAAAAAACTCGAAAATCTTTTCTTCCATTATTCCACGAGTTTCTTCCAAGAAAATTAGCATTTCACCATCATTTTCATCGTCTTCATCGCTCTCTTTATCCTCGAATTCAGCCCCTTCCACACCGATGAATCGGCCATCAAACACTTCCAAGTATTCTGTGGCAAGTTCAACGTCAGCTATCCATTTCGGGCTATATGAAGAAGGCCAAGAATCCATTTCTCCCACATCAACATTGTGTTTTGGTAATGGAAATGGAAGTTCGAGCAAGATTAGCAGGCACTACTACCCCATGAAGAGTGTGAAGAGGGCATTCTTGTCCATTGTTGGGCTAGCTAATTAGAGGTAATTATATGTGGTGTTCATCTTGTTCAATTTCTATATATCAAAAATCAAAGAAAGAAATTTAGTTGAATCAATGTAAACTTGAACTCCAAGTGAATGAAATCTGTTCATGGTTTAACTATTTGCCTAATTTTATTTTTTAGTAATTGTTCGGATAACTTAGAAAGTTTGTTAAATCAAGGTTAAAGTCAACAATTAATTTTGACTAAACATTTAGCCCATGTTTGGTAGTAAATAAAATCTAAAATTTTATCAAAGTCAAAGCCAATAATTAGTTTTAGCAATATATTTCATGGGATCCACAACTTTCAACTAAAATATTTTATTAAATTTTATGAATATCCGCTAAAAACCTGATTTTAATCCCTACTAAGCAAGAAGTTAATGTGATCCTAAATTCGTATCAACTTTTCTACTATATATTTCATCAATATTTAACAAATTTTACTAAAATTTTTATCAATTTTTTCGTCACCTCTTAATTCTGTCTGTGTTACATGATGCACCGACTGTTTCAACAAGGGCCCATTCTTTTTATTTTTATATTATTTCTTTATTTTTGATGGGTTGGGATATGGGGTGCACGTCTGGTTGACCTAGATCTAGTGTTAAAGACTTAAAGTGAAATTGTGATGCAATTCAATTTAGTTAATATTGCCAAGCGTATATAGAGATTTATACGTGTGGCCCCCCAGGGCACTTCTCCACTGGCAAAGGACGGACGCTGTCAAACCTGGTAGAGCAGAGGTCGTGAGTTCGAAACATGGGGCTCTTGGAAGGCAAGGATTTATTCTTGGAAGGCAAGGGAACATTTGGAAGGCAAGGATTTATTCTTGGAAGGCAAGTGGGAACTTGGAAGGCAAGGATTATTCTTGGAAGGCAAGGTGCAACTTGGATTGGCTTGCTTGGCACTTTGTCAGACCAGGTGGAGAGCGCTTGACCCTGACCAGTTGGAGGCACATCCTGCGATTAACCGGACTGTGTGAAGAGGGGCCGGATCACAGACCCAAGGATTAGTCTAGATAGGACACCTTGTAAAAAAAAAAAAAAAAAAGATTTATACGTGTGAATCTATAAAGTACAATGCTTGATTAAAAAAGAAAGAAGCAAAATTAGGTAAATATTTATGGAAGTTATAACTAACAATTTCATATAGATGCTCGCACCTTTTTTTTCAAAAATTATATAAAGTGGAAATTGCATCTAACTATATCTTTCAAGATCCAATTTCAAAAATCAGATATGAAGTTTGTTTATACATAAATCAGATATTAATTTAAAATTAAATTAATTTACATACTAAACCTACTTCCATCCACTCACCCCACCAAATTTAATCATAAATCCTAATTACTTTCCACTCTCGTTTCTCTCTCTCTATATCTCTCTTTTCCCTCACGTGAACCGCCATCTTTCACAGAAAACTTTCGAACGCCATCGTGCAGCTGTGCACTTCGTTGTGAATTTGCTCTGTCGTCTCCTTCTCCGTCTTCGGTCTTTCTTTTCATTACACGTCACGCCATCGCCGTTTTTCACACCCCATGTCGCCTCTCTCCCATCGCCAAGCATAGAGAAGCCACACCATTTGTGGCATGGATTTGAGAGCAACATGCAGCAACATATTCAGATCGTCGCTGTGCTGTGTTGATCTGAGAGCCAAGCAGTGTTCGTAGTGCCGCTTCCTTAGACGGTGTTTTTGTTTCTATTTTAGATTGTGAGGTGGTGGCGGCGGAGGTGTGACTGTGACGTGGTGATGTTGTGTGTGGTGGTGTTGTGGTTGATGCAGTTATGATGGCGATGGTGGTGGTTATTGGTTAACGTGTGAATAATAAACAATATGTGATCAAATGAAATAGATTAAATTGTAACCAATAAGTAATATGTGCCCTAAAAATTGTTAATTTGTGATCAATAATTTGATACTTTGTGACCTAAACATAATTTGTTGTCAATTAATTTGATATTTTGTAATCATAAAATAATCAGTGACTTTTAAAAGTTGTGATTAGTGACCAAGAAATAATACATGACTTATTAATTTGATAAATTTGTGATTGTGAAATAATTTGTGACCTATAAAATTTTTAATTGTAACCAAGAAATTACTTGTGACCAATAATTCAATAATTTGTGACCAAATTATTAATAGATTAAAGTTAAAATCAATAATTAATTTTAACTACATATTTAGCTCATATTTGGTAGTGACTAAAATCTAAAATTTTATCAAAATCAAAGTCAATAATTAGTTTTAACAAACATATTTCACGATACCCCGTAACTTTTCAACTAAACATTTTATTAACTTTTATCAATATTCACTAAAAACTGATTTTAATCCCTACTAACAAGGGCTTAATGTAATCCAAAATTCTAATCAACTTTTCTACTATATATTTCATAAACATTTAACAAAATTTACTAAATTTTTTATCAAATTTTTTTGTCATCTCTTAATTAATTAATTATTATTATTATTTCAATTATTAGTCTGTGTTACTTAATGCACCGACAGTTTCAACAAGGGCCCATTTTTTTTTTGATTTATTTTATTTTTGTTGGATGGGGATAAGCGGTGCATGTCTGGTTGACCTAGTTCTAGTGTTAAAGTGAATTTGTGAGGCAATTCAATTTAGCTAATACTGCCAAGCGTACATAGAGATATATAGATGTGAATCTATAAAGTAGAATGCTTGATTAAAAAGAAGAAGCAAATTAGGTAAATCTTTATGGAATTTATACTAACTATTTCATAGAGACACTCGCTCCTCTTTTTTTTTTTTCAAAAATTATAGAAAGTGGAAATCATACCCAACCATATCTTTCAAGATCTAGTTTTAAAAATCGATCTAAAGTTTGTTTATACAAAGATAAGATATTAATTCAATATTAATAATAACATTACAAAATTACATTAATTTACATACCAAACGTAACTCCATCCGCCCACCCCACCAAATTTAATCATAAACCTTAATTACTTCCCACTCCTGTTGCTCTCTCTCTCTCTCTCTCTCTCTCTCTCTATATATATATATATATAGATGTGAATCTATAAAGTAGAATGCTCTCTCTAGTCTCTCCGGCTCTCCCCACTCTGCGAGACCGCCAGTCCACCACAGTGCACTTCCGCACGAAGATATAAGTGAAAATGTCAAAAAATGAAAGGTATAAACGTTTTCAATAATAACATTGAAAGTAAGGATACTTTGTACTAATTACCCAAAAATAAAATATTACTTTTTATGTTTTTTTGAGTATTGATTTGACAGATAAAAGATACGAGAAAATTCAAAATAAGTTTTAATATCTGTCCAAATATTCTTATATTACAAAAGAAACAAACTTAAAATTATTAGCCGAAACACATACAACTAAAATTATGAGCTACTACTACTACTACTACTAATAATAATAATAATAATAATAATAATAATAATAATAATAATAATAATAAATACCATCTTCATCTAAAATCATAAAATAGTAATTTTTAAAATTTTTTAATATTTTAATAGGAATGTATATATAGTGAGATGTTTATATAAAAACTGTAGATGTAAATAGCAGCATCCTAATAATATCTTGGTTCCATTTGTGATTAAATCATAGGCTCCGGGTATCAACTATATAACACAATTTATAGAACTCTAAGCCATAAATAAATTAATGCAGAACAATGTTCAACGCACTCTAATGTAGATTTCTCTGTACTTTCTTCAAATCCACTCATTTTCCCAGATGTTGAGGTGAAAATTGAAAACGTTTGCTTCCCATTTTCCTTTCCTACAGAAGGAAAATGAAAAACCAAATTCATCCAAAATGCTAGCTGGGAATCAAGATTTTAGTCCCAAATTCCTCCAAATATTAAGTAGGACAAATTTTTTCTCTAGGCTCTTGTCCAAGAAGAAAAACCTCTTCCTCCTCCTCTTCTTCCATGTTTGATATAATATGACCTTACTATCAAGAGTCTTTAATAAAATATGTTGATACTCACTGTTGACAATTAAAATTTATAGAGGATTAGAAGGAACCTTTTCCAAAATCAACCGATCTCGACTAAAGCACTTGTGAGCCCATGATAAAATAAGCGAGCATTTGTAACTCAAAAGCTTTATAATCAATCTCGAGCGTAAACAGAGAACAAATCAAATGTACTTTGCTTTCACCAGCTATTCAATGTTAGTAGAAATTATTATTAAAGCACACATGAGTGTGAATGTAAAGCATGACTTCATAACCAATGAATGAGGAACATGTCAACAAGTAAATAAAACATAAAAATCTAACAGATTTTGATAAGTTCACTAATCAATGAATGCCATGTGGCTCAAACATAAAAAGGCGTGCTTACCCCCAAGATCTCGATAGAAATCTATGGATAGGCTATGTCGGGAACTGATGAGGATATGCAAATCTAAGTATCCTCATTTCAAATAGTGATTACTCTTGCTTCTGCTTGAGCATTGAATCAATGAGTTTAGGAGAAGAAAGTTTTGGATAGATGAGAGGAATTTGTTGATCATCATTTTGAGGTCAAAAAATTAGACTTGTCTATGGGAACTAAAATGAAGGTAACTAGGTCTCATCATTTTGATCAAAAACCACCAGAAAAAATTGTCTAAAGATGAGATAAGAGGATGCATATCTCATGAAAATAGAAGCGTTAGAAGATAGTAGCAAAGAGCTCAAAGCAGATCCCAGTGATGATTACGAAGATAGCAACAATGTAAAGTGGCATTGATAAGAGATCAAAGAAGATAGTAGTGAAGAGCTCAAAGGAGACAGAAATCTTTACCCGATCTCATACAAAAAAGAGGATAGTAAAATCAAATAGGAATGTAAGCTAGCTTGTAATAATTCAGCCTTGAAAAATTGCGTATACTGAGTATATCGATGATCGCATATCATGAATTCGTCTTCTTCTTGTAAAATATGAAACCCTATCTTCTTGATTGATTTAATGATATTTCCAATTTTTGAGCTCTCCTTTTTTTTTTTTTTTTAATAACTGTTGATTAAGGCAAGTGTTTATAGGTCCCAAACATTGGATAAAAATCGTGACCCAATTAAATTCCAAAGAGAATTATATTTATAATAGGAGAATGGGCCCAGTTGCCCAAAAAGTCCCATGTGATCATATATGGGCGAGCCTACACGATCTCATGGATCTCCTCTGATTGCTCCATCACTACGTCAAATTGATTGAGAATTAAGTCAAACGAACATAGGCTTTGACACAATGGGTGACATAGCACTCACAACCGAGGTTTGGGTCCCATGAATAAAATAATCCCGACCTCCCCCATGTGCATGCGCTATGTCAACCGAAGTGTCATCCTCTATGGTTATGTAGCACGGTCCATTGATTGATTGCATATCGGATGATATTCAATTTCTTTGAATCAACCCCGTTAAGT